ACGTAATTGAATATTAACATACGTTCATTATTTAATTACTCGCAATAAATAAAATTTTTGTAAGTAAATAACGTGTAAGTAAATTCATATGTAAAAATTTACCAATTGCCAGAAAGTAATTGTTCGTGCGTATTAAGATTCTGACAATAGGCGGTAAAACTATTCGTATTCCCATATAAATTATAAATATGTAAATGTTAATAAAAGCAGTGTATATATTTTCCCACATGTAAATTTGATAAACTATTTATGAAACTACATCTATTCGAATTTATCTGTTACAAATATACAAATGTAAGGCAAGATATAAAAACAAATAAAACAAGAACATGTAAAAAGTAACATTAATAAAATGTCTATTAACGATGCATTTAGAATAAATTGTCTTGTAGTTAAGTGAAAAAATATATACTTTTCCGTTTCATATTTCATGACTGTCATATTTATCCCTTAACCTTAAACTGAAGCATCGGATATTTTTATTCCCGTCAAATCATATAGATCACGCAATATGAATGGAATATATAACACTTCATTTGTGCTAATGATACTCAGAATTCATGCTTTATCGGTAACGTGGGCTATTGACACTAAAATGGTAAGGAGGCTATTGACGCCCTCGAAGCATGGGACAGAAAATTACATTGCACGTTAGGTCTATTCATATATCTCGTCTCAACGTTTTAAATATAAACGTTGCGATGGGCGCAATTTTAGATTCCGAGGGAGAAAATTGGGAGCAATTTTTTAAGATAAAAATTGTTAAGAAATACTAATATTTCGCGCCAACTATTCTTCGGTGTTGTACTTCACCTGACTTCACCAGTGACGTGTCAGCGACACTACTATCGGAAGTAGTCGGAAGTTGGAAGGTCAGAACTCGAATGAAAACGATACATCGAAGATAATCGAATTGAATCGAGTGGTGGTTTGTGCGGTTTGGGCTGCTTTCCCGACATTTCCCGAGATAAAAGGCAATTGTGAGTTAGTTGGTGAAGAGTTTTCGTCAATTGTTTTTCTCGTTAATACGTGGTAGTATTTTTTTTATTACAGGGCATTAACGACGTGTAAAATATTGGAAAATGACGGACGATAAAACGGAATTCGTAAGTCTCTTGCGTAATGTTTTGATAAGTTGTATTCGGCGTACATAACCGCACTTTTATATATAATGTATATTTCAAATACGTTGCAATTACATGTTCCATGTAGTGAATGTACTGTTCGTTTTTGTATGTAGGATTGGGGAAACGAGAAATTACAACGTGCTCAAAAAACTGTAGATGAATCGCCTTATGATTTGGAAGCATGGAGCATCCTCATTCGAGAAGCACAGAACAGACCTATCACAGAAGTAAGGCCAGTGTTTGAAAAGCTTGTCACTGTATTTCCTTCAGCTGGTCGCTACTGGAAAATTTATATAGAACAAGAGGTAATGCTTATATATATATATTTTTCACTACAAATGTTTTGTATAAACAATAACAGAAATTACTGTAAATAGTTTTAATGAATGAATTATAGTATAATGATTTTTAAACGTTGAATAATACAAGTTTTGATAAATTTACTACTCTTAAGATATAATTTCATCGTGTGTGTTTCAGATGAAAATGCGCAACTTTGAGAAGGTGGAAAAGGTATGTTAACATTAATTGTCTGAGTTTCAAAATTTAATGAAAGCACTATATATTACCAAACTTCTAGTTATATGTGTTATTTAAGTTGCTCACATCAAATTAAACATAAACAATTTTCAGTATTGATATTACAATGAGGTTGTTTGGTGCAGCTTTCCTTTAATACAGTCTTATATTTGTATGCATGTTTATATAAAATAATAAAATATGGTTATATTTTTGAAATAACCGTAGTATAAAACAGGAAAATTTTTTACTTAACAGTGATTAAAAGGATTATTTTGATTTTCTTAGTGTAGTAGGATTACAGATAACAATGACAGGTTATTATTAATCCGTTGTGATAAAATATTATCAAATAATGTGATTCTGAGCACTTTGCATATTATATGAGGTGAATAAAAACAATATTTCACCATAAGCAAATATTTCATTAATTAATGATTGATCTGTTCATACATTTGGGAGGTTGTTTTCTTTGTTGAATAATATATTTTCTAAAAAGAATATAATGAACATAATGTAATTCATATAACAAAGAGTATGGACAATATAATATTAGTGTACATCAACTTATGAAAGCAACTTCCTGAATCTAACAGCCTTATATTCCTTCCTGCAACACATTTTTTACTGTGCTTGGATTGTTTTACTTGTATAGTATAAAATTCACAGTACACAAAGTGTACAAGTTCTATTGGACATTGTACAAAGTATAATAATTATTAATAAATATTCAGTAGTAAAATAGTGCAATTAGATTTATGTCTTTTCAAATAATATAGAGAAACGTTTGATAGTGTACTGTTCTGGTTCCCAAATAAGTTTTAAAAGTCACATAACTTACCTTCCCCTTAAACAATATTTGAGACCTATCCTCAACTATTGTGAAACTTACATAGAGGTAGCATAAGGTGATATACGTTTTCAAGGATTGCATTGGATTTATTGAAGAAAAACTCATGATTAATAATTTAAATATTTGCATCACCTTGTGTTGCTTCGCACTGTCTAAATTTTTTTGTCATGTTTTGGGATCATTCATTTCTCGATCCCACATAGGTCAAATGTTATTATATTATCACCCCAACTGCAAAAAATAAATAAACTTTTTCATTTTAAAGGGGTCTGTTTTATGTTACCTTTATAATCTCATGTCTGAAGAAATTTCTCTCTTAATTATTAATAGATAAACCATATGTTTATGTAATAAACTATTCTCACTTGATGCATTGGTGCATTATTATTTCTCCCATTATATACAAACAACATTGTAGTAGTGATTGTATTAAGAAGTATTTGCATCAATAAATTATTGAATTTTTACTTCCCAATATCTTGATGTGATTCTTATTGGTATTATTGATAATGACTAAATGTATGTGTATAAAAAAGACTTGCCTGTATGGGTAAGTAAGGTGGTAGATATGTTCTTTGTGATCACATTTGGGTAAACTTCATGTTGGTGGTATGTTGTTCCCTTATGTCGCCTCTAAAATATTTATTTTCTCTGACAGCTTTTCCAAAGGTGCCTCATGAAAATCTTAAATATTGAGTTGTGGAAACTTTACCTTTCTTATGTCAAAGAAACAAAAGCCAGTCTTGCAACATATAAGTAAGTATTTAAATTTCTGAGAAGAAGGACTCGTTATAAATCATTATCATGACTAAACAAATAATATATTCATAGGGAAAAAATGGCACAAGCATATGATTTTGCTTTGGATAAAATTGGAATGGATATACATTCCTACAGTATTTGGAATGATTATGTTATGTTCCTGAAAAGTGTTGAAGCAGTTGGTTCCTATGCTGAGAATCAAAAAATTAGTGCAGTTCGCAAGGTAAGTAATTATACGATGTTCTGTAATTCCACATTAATATATGACAGTTGGTTTCATTTAACAGTGCATTTGTATTTACAAATTATAGGTATATCAACGTGGTGTTGTTAATCCTATGATAAATATGGAACAATTGTGGAAAGACTACATGGCATTTGAACAAAATATTAATCCAATAATTGCAGAGAAAATGGCAATTGAGCGTTCCAGGGATTATATGAACGCAAGGCGTGTTGCTAAAGAATTGGAAGCTGTAACTAGAGGATTGAATCGAAGTGCTCCCAGTGTGCCTCCAACTGGTCATCCAGAAGAGGTTAAACAGGTATTATATTGTTTTTCTGACACTTTTTTATGCGTATAACCAGGTGAATGTTTCTTCAGAAATGAAGTTCGGATTGTCATGTTACATAGGTTGAATTATGGAAAAAATACATTGCGTGGGAACGCAGTAATCCGTTAAGAACGGAAGACACTTCGTTAGTTGCTCGTAGAGTAATGTTCGCTATTGAACAATGTTTACTATGTTTGGGTCATCATCCTGCGGTGTGGCACCAAGCTGCGCATTTCTTAGAACTTAGTTCGAAAATATTGACGGAAAAAGGGGATGTGAACGCTGCGAAAAATTTGAGCGATGAAGCTGCTACAATGTTTGAAAGGGCAACTAGCACATTATTATCAAAAAATATGTTATTATATTTCGCACATGCAGATTTTGAAGAAGGAAGAGTCAAATACGAAAAAGTTCATCAAATATACCAAAAGTTCCTCGATATACCCGATATTGATCCTACATTAGTTAGTATTCATTCTCTGTCAATATTGAAATTTATATTTCCTTTATTCATTTAATATCAATAACACCATTATTATTACATTCTTTTTATAGGCATATGTACAATATATGAAATTTGCTAGACGCGCAGAAGGTATAAAATCTGCCCGGACAGTTTTTAAAAGAGCTAGGGAAGATCCAAGATGCAAACATCATGTATACGTTGCTGCTGCATTAATGGAATATTATTGTACTAAGGATAAGAATATTGCATTCCGGATATTTGAACTGGGTTTAAAAAAATTCGCAGACAATCCTGATTATATACTTTGTTACATCGACTACTTATCGCATTTAAATGGTAAGATGTATAGATTCACTTTCCTGCATTTCATTCTAACAGTTTATCATATGTTCCAGAGGATAATAACACAAGGGTTCTATTTGAGAGGGTCTTATCTTCTGGTAGTTTAGAACCGGAAAAATCAGTGTATGTAGTGAATATATTGGTTTAAGAAACTAAAAATTTATTCTTGTGCATAATATCATGGAACTTCTTTTTAGTGATATATGGAATCGGTTCTTAGAATTTGAATCAAACATTGGAGATTTAGCTAGTATCGTTAAGGTTGAAAAAAGGCGCAGTGCAGTCCTAGAAAAGGTATTATATACAAATAATAAAATATTTAATTTCTATTTTTATCGGTTACATTACTTTTAAAATCTTCAGATTAAAGAATTTGAGGGAAAGGAAACTGCACAACTGGTAGATAGATATAAATTTTTGGACTTATACCCTTGCACTCCTATGGAATTGAGGTCTATAGGGTATATGGAAGTATCCAGTGTTACCAGAAGTACAGCTGGTGTATTACCACGAATTCCAGATCCAGAGGAAGCTATAGCATCATTACCTAGACCTGATTTATCACAAATGATTCCTTATAAACCAAAAGTGAACCCACTGCCTGGAGAACATCCAGTACCTGGTAAGGGTGTCTTTTAATATCTTTCATATCTACGAGCAATTTTATACCAAATTTTTACTTTTCAGGTGGTTCATTTCCACTGCCGCCAGCAGCAGCACAACTTTGTACCATGCTTCCACCGCCTGGTTGTTTCAGGGGACCATTTGTGGCCGTTGATTTGCTGATGGACGTCTTCAATCGAATTCAGTTACCAGATCATGGTAAAATTTTTAGTTACATTACGTACTTTATTTGGCGCTCAAATACCGATAAAAAAAATGCCAAAAATAATTTCGCAAGTATTACAACAAAGGTTTAACTTGTCTTTGCAGCTCCATTACCAATAGCAGATAATGGATGCGATACAAAATTGTTCGATCTCGCGAAATCTGTGCACTGGATTGTTGATGAAAGTAATGATGGAGTGAGCATCGGATCAAAACGGAGAAGAACGCGTTTGGGAGGCGACGACAGTGAAGAAGAAGACTTACCACCGCCTCCTGCGAACGACATATACCGCCAAAGACAACAGAAACGAGTCAAATAAACATAAAATGAAATAATTGAGATCAGAGCTGATCTACGATGTCATATATATTTTTACATTTATGTTTGTTCTGGAAACAAGACATTTCCTGAAAGAGCAAACCTATTATTATTGAGAAGCGTACGTTACGTATATACGCGATTACTAAATTCTTTATGTGACACTGTGCACGATATTTTGAGTACTATGTACTCAGAAATTCTAACTTTACACTGTTGATTTCATCTTCATTCAGATATGTTCATCCACGCGAGAATTATCAGGACGAGGACAAAATTCGAAATGTCCAATGGATTAAACATGATTGTATTGTTACCTACTTCGCTGTATACTATAAATCTAGTATATAAATATACGATCGAAATTTGATTTTTACACCAGTGTTTACGACGATTTATATCGCACGTGAAAGATATCTGTCCGGCCTCGTGAACCTGTCGCTACAAATATTTAATACTAAAGGTGATTGGCACGATTTTTACGTTTTTTTTAATCGAAATTAAATGATTTCTTCTACTTATAATTAAATTCTATGATAGAAATGGTACTATTTAGGACGACTAATATAGGTAGAGTTCTTATGTTAAATACGCGAGATATCGAAGTCACAATCTATTCATTTTGTTCGCTGAACAAACTCTTTGTACAAACAGCGTCGAACGAATGTATTTGAACAAACGCACCTCTCATTCCATTTTTTTATTCTAGTATTTGTATTAACTTTTGAAAAGACGTACATATATTTCGTGAAGTACAGGAAATGTATTTTGCCTGAGACTCAATCGTCTAGGAACTAGCTAAAAAGCTTATGAACAGCGTAAGAAATATTTATAAATAAGTTCAGATCACCGTTTGTCTCAATACATTTGACTGATCTGCTGTACATTTACCTCGATCTGTATCATTCGATGTACAGGACCAATAAATGATCAGCATCCTATCTGAATATTTCTCTCTATAAAGTATTTCACCTGTTTTCTATTTTTTTTTTTTTCGTCAGAAATTGTATCACCTCATGAAGTTCCAGCAAAAAATGTACATTTTGGAAAAGCATCGTAACCGAGTCATATAATAACTAGACGAGGAGAAAGTCAATACTCCGGAACACTTACGCGACAACGAGGTATGGTTCGTCACAGCAATTGCTTCGACGGGTAGTTGGAGTTTGTTAGTAGGTGTAACTGCTCGATAAGGGTGCAATTAAACTTTGATCGCCATTCCTAGTTCGAGTGGCTGGTAATGGCTCCGTTGGGTTCACGGTAAATTGGACTAGCGAGCCGCGAAAATAGTTGCCGTCTGTCGGCGAGATTGTTTTGAAAACTTTACATCGCTAAAATCTGCATACGTCGACCGTAACTTTTGTCAACTGTATTCACGAGTTCGGGACAAAAGGCTATTCAGCACTGAAACACAATTACGTTCAACTGATTTCTAATCCTATTAAATGGATTCGCTTAAATTGCAATAAACCTTATTTCTGGCTCCGTCAAATCTGAGACCGAATTTGATAGATTACGGTTATAATGACGTACGACTGCTTGTAATGTTCCTTTGGTTGGACAAATGATCATATTCTGGGAGTTCTCCATGATATACTAGCACAACGACGTATTCCTAACAGACGCAGCCCGAAATACAGAGGAATCTCTATTACACGAGCATAAATCCTCAAACATTTATGCGCAATTGTAGCATAGTTCTATTCTCATCCGTCTTAGACGTAGATACCTAGTATTTGGACACTTCTCGAACTACCTAAACTAACGAAATTCCTTTTCCATACCTTGGGTACACCGTGTACAGAGATATCGAGGTTGCTGGGAAAATTTTACACGGAGAGTAATAAAGCGTGTATCATAAAGAGAAGCGTATCAGCATATCTGGAAACTACCTTACATTCTTGAATTTCTACTTTTTTTATTTACACAGAATCACAAAATTGTGACGTGAAACAAACTTTCGAAAGTTGATTGTTATCATTTAACAAAATAGATTTATTCATGGTATATATCTGAAATTCGTGGTACAATCGACAAAAGGGCGATTCTTTGTACGTAAACGAGTGGAAAATGTAGAATAAAATTTCTTCGTAAAAGGCTTTGTTTTCGAGAATATCCGTAATTAAAAATTCATTTGTTACACATGAATTCGTGCTTACAAGTAAAAAGAGCGAGTAATGAACAGACAAGTTCGCCGACACCTATTCAATTTTTTCACCCCACCCGGTAATTCCAATTTGATGGGGGGTTCATTAATCAAAGTGGAATGAGGATACTCGATCAAGCTATTGTACTTTGCGCCACGCATACGACTCGTTAAGAAGCAGTTAGCATAATGGCGTACAGCGTGTAACAACAAGTACCGTCATACATATACATTCGGTGAACATGTGGCGCAGAAAATTATATTTAAATGACAATTTTAATTAAACTTCAACATATCAAAGCTGTGTCTCTTGAATAATTTATATGCCACTTTTACGGCTACGTTAACTGTAGAACGGAAATCTATTACAGTGTGAAGTATTCAATAATTTTCTTTCTGTATTTACCATCTACTTTCTACAACCATCAAACAGTGTGTATTCTATAACAATTAACAAATGACGAATAAAAATCACATATAATGGTTCAATATTTATAGTTACTTGGATACAGATTTGTTCGTTCAAAATAAACCAATATTTTATTGCAGAATGTTATTTGTTATCCAAATCTTTTCATCTAATTCTCATCTTTGGTATTTATAGTATGAAAAATTCAACAAAGTGAAAGATAAGGAAAAATAGAGATGTCCTTTCCTTGTTTTAAAAAACTTAGCTGACATTTTGAAGTTGTATTACGCTTTATAAACGGTGTCCCGCACTGAATGGAACAGTTGAAGATGTAGAAAATATGGTATAAAATTTTCTCTTTTACGCGCAAGAAAACTGATGAACAATTACAGGTCGCAAGACCAATTCCTTTGGTAAATAGAAGACCCCCCTGGATGTAATAAAAGCGTTTCAGAATACGAGATAGCGTAACGCTAGGCATTTAAGAGCCGCGGCAACGTATTATTGAATCGGCAACGAAACACCTGGATCCACGGGTTCAGGTGTTGGTGAGAATTTCTGCAAGCAGAGTTCTACTCTTCGGCGTGAAACTACGCTCGGCATTAGTAGGTTTTCGATGAGAAATAGTCTATTGTTGCGTATGAAAGCAATGGTTAGAACGGTTTACATGATTTTCGCGTAAGATTACTTACTTATCTCGACGATATGCTTCTCGTTTATTTAATTAAATTCTACGGTCCCCAGACAAATAAGTATTTGATCACAAGTTAACGTTACTGGACGGCAAATTTATTTACAAAAATATCGGAGGTGAAAGCAAATTGTAAAAACATAATGTACCGAACATTTTAACACATTCGTCGAGAAATGAACAGCTATAAAATTACGAGAGGATAAAACTTTTTTAATGAAACGAAAACTATATAAGCGAAAGATCTAACAGAGAACATTATTCTTTAACCTCCACAAATTTGACAGAAAATTGTCACTTTGGGTAAAAGGATACCTACCATTGACATATGTATTTCGGATGATTCTTATATTAATTACGTTTATCCGTGAAATCGATGTTCTCGGAAGAAGAGACGAGGGGACAGCATACAGCGACCTTTGAAATAGGACTTAATTGCAAAAGGTCTTCGTAACCTTTGACCCGACCGGTGAATCCGCGAGTGTTCCGCTGCGGACGCATATAGCGAAACGGGAGCCGGTTAGTTTGAAAAGGACGGTAATGGCAGTCGTATTTGAATGAATGCTAAAACACGAACGAGGTAATAACCATATTTACCGCGTGTACTACTGCCCGATGCCAGACGAACCCACGATAAGTATTTTCCTCTGATTTTTCATCGTTGCTCTGTTCCTTGTTGATTCTGTTACGTAAATAAAGAAACTTTTGCACTAAAATGTTATTTCCTTCAATATCAGACTTCATACCGCGTGCATAGTAACATATAAATTTTAGGTGCAATCTGTAACGATTTTTAGAAATCAAGCATTAATATCTGCTCTAAAATTGGTTATTCAAGATTAATTCTTAACTGGTGAGGTGGAAATCTTATTATTTATTGCTTATTACACAACTAGTTGTTTTGCTAGTTGTTACTATTGAATAACAATAAAATATTATAAAAATATTCACGGGGTTCCTCGAACCCCACTTCACCAGTTAAGGGTTTAGAGATGAAAATATTATTTAGTAATAAACTTACGTTACTTTTAAGACCACTGCAGACAGAAAACAGTTTTTTTAGTAATACCTCTATTAGAAAATAGTGAAGTAAGAGAATAATAACAATAATATAGAAAATATTTCAATCATTTATGTTGAGATTGAAAAAAAAAGAATTCACGAGATTTCTCGTTATTCTCTAAACATACGTACCCACAAAAGATATTTCAGGTACGTCTACAGACGTTCCGGGGAATCGGTTCTATTTGTCAAAGACAAACTGTCGAAACGTAGATCCTGTCGGACTATCGCGGCGAGGTTAACGAAGATTTTAGAAACTGCCTCCGCCATTAATTCCGGCGGCGAGAAAATTTAGGGAGGCGTTCACTGGTAACCGCTCGGGACGCAACTTGGTTGGGCTCTTTGAAACTTTGGTTCTATCTCGGAGGAAGACAAATGACAAGAGCCGAAAGGAGTCCCCCTCTCCTTCCCCTAGAACTGGATAGTTGGCCTTTCATAGAACACAAACGCATAATTCTCCCACTTTGCCGGGAACGAGCTATCGCGAGATAGCGTGTAAGAGTAATTTCTTCGTGAAAATCGAGAAAAAAAGAGAAAAAGTAGAAAAGAGAAGAAGTCGCTTCCCGGTTCGCGGAGAACTGAATCCCTTGGAGTGGGAGAGATACTTGTTCGACGAATAATTCACCGCGATCTCTCACCCGCCTAAATGATTTCTATAAAAGTTTACTTGTTTCCTATTTAAATCGAATAATT